TTGTACACGTGTAGTTGGGTTTGGGGAGCACTTCCATCGACTTGGTAGCACTTTAGCTGTAAATTGTGCTGTTAGGAAGTAACTGCTCTTCTCCCATTGGGGTCACATTTGTGGTGCCTGGTCCTGCTGGTGGAGGAGCCTGTGGTTCTGGAGAAGATGTACAAAAGGATCATTTTGTCTTCTGCTCCTTGAAGATCTGGTCACCTGAACACCTTCCGCTGGCATGTGCCAGAGCTGCCAGCTGAGTAAGTCCCAAAGATCCCCTTCCCTGTGCCCTTCCCAGCTAAGTGACACCAGGGGGTGTTCCAGTAAATTTTTGTTTACTGAGTATAAAGCTGGACTTAGTCCCTGCCGTGGCCACACAGAAAGCTGTGCCATCAAGCGAAGGAGAGCGGCACAAGGTGGAAGTGAGCAGCAAAGGCTTTTTCTTTTGGTGGCTGCAAGTGTCTGGTAGAACAGAAGTCAGTCTGTCTGCCCCATGTAACTACTTGGATTTGTCTTTTAAAAACATTCTCACAGCAACTGAGGATAGTGGGGCTCTAGTGACCTGCAGCAGTAGGAAGAAATCTGTGAAAGGGAGTTTTAATCTTTATTTCAAGTGGATTTTTGTAAGCCATTAACTAACTGACCTGTACTCGTTGACAGTATTTCCTAGATCAGGATTAGTGATGGTAACTTAAGTACTAGGTGTTAATGTCACTTTTTAATGCTGCTTGTTGCTGGTATGGTATTTCAAAATCATTGATTTTGTTCACAAAGTCAGAAAATGCAAAATTTATCTGTTAAAATCTGAGAGTTTATTTCAAATTTGAGGATATGGACTACGTTATCCCTTCTGTACAGCAAAGGTACAGCACTGCAGGCCCCCTCAGCCTCCCACACAGGCTGCTTCTCTTGGTTTGTGAGAACTTGGGAATTTACTGCTTTTGGAAGAAAATTAAAAAATTAATTAATGTTAGTAAAATTACTAAAATAATCCACCAGGATACACTGATCAGATGTAAATTCTGGGAGCTTCTTAGTATGATATTTCAAAGATGAGGTTCATTTTGAGAGTTGGGGTTAATACTCTCAAGATTTGTTTAGAAAGAATTTGAGCTTAGGATGCAATGACCTAGCAGACGTTTTTCTTAAACACAAATTAACGCTTTCTTTAATCTCAGTTTATCTGATCCGAGGTGAACCTCAATGACCTAATAAACTGCATCTCGTCGTAGTGAGCACTATACATGGTTGCCACTTCTAATGACTTGCGCATAAATTTCATAATTCTGGAATGCTTCTCTCACCCGCTTCCCTGCAAAAGATGCTGGGTTTTTTCTTGTTGTGTAAGCAAAATCTGTTTAGCTTTTCATTTATGAAAGAAATGGATAAATATCCTCTTGTGTTTGGCTACTTGCCCTGTCTTCAGAAGTGCTAGAACTGTCCCTGCCTGCTTTGGAGAGGAAGAAAGGCTTCAGGATAGTTTCATGTGACTGGTAAATATTTCACTCATATGTTGGACACTTTCTTAAGTATAGGTACTTAGTTTGGAGGAAAACATAGATGAAAAATGTATATAATTGTGGGTAGCATTGCAATATTCATAAACTACTGATGATATTTAATTTTTCTTAACTTTGATTTCTCCTCATAGAAATGAGAGAGCAAATTTTAGGAAGCAAGTTCAGTGAAAGTACACCAATATAGTTGGTGCAAACAGCTATGTCAAGAAGAAGGAGGGCAAAAGGAGGAAATAGCTGGAGAATAGCTAACCTAAAAGGAAACATGATGTACTGCTTCCCGTAGTTTATCTTAATTTTTTTTATGTATCTCTTTCTTTTATAGTGAAAGATACTGTCCTAAGCATAACTCAGTACTCAAAGCAGCAATTCTGATCATCTTTTTTATTGATTCAGTGCATGATGGAGTTGGTAATGACTAGATCACCTTAATATATAAAAACTATTTTACCTGAAAAATGAACAGAGGCATACCTCTCAATGGATTAAGTAGTGCTGCATCATGGACACCAAGTGACAAAATATATTGCATTTTTTTGCTAATATGAATTTATTAATAATTTATAGTTTTTATTAATATTAACCTTATGCTTTAAGGTAGACACAGGCCTTAAAAATCAGTGTCTTTTACCCAAAACACCATACAGTCTTCCATGCCTTTTTGTAACTATCATGAGGCCTGTCCAATGGGTTATCATAAAACATATTGTATGTGCTAAAGATCTACAGTGAAAGCACCATATCTTTGTAGTATGGGGTAAGAACTAAACTCACTGATTATTAACTAAAGATGTTTCTAAAATGCCATTTGCTCCAACTTCACTATTCTCTGTGTTTGGGTTTTTTTCTTTCTTCTTCCTTCTGTGAATCCAGTTTAGGATGTTCTCATTCCTTCTTCTTGCTTACTTCGTCCGTGCTTGTTGGAGTCCATCTGTTGTGCCATAAAGTTGGTGGTTTGGGCCAAGCTATAAATCAGGTCACCAGAATGATTCAGATTAAAAATAAACGTACAATAAAAAGCCTGGAATTTGCATTGTCAGCGTTCTGTTTAAATGCCCTGCAGAGCATCACTGCTATTATCTAAGCCATCTCTTGTTTGTATTCAATTTAGAAATCATGTATTTGCAGCTGCAACTAAATCTGTCTATTCTCAAAACTAGAACTTCAGCCTCACATCTGTCATGTTCTCCTCTCCAGTTTATCTCCTGTACCCTCTGATTAAAAGCATGTTGGTCCCGTGTTTCTTTTGGAATAGTGGGGTGGTACTCTTCATTTCCCAGAAGTTTCATAGCTATTCCTGAGTTAGTGGAAAACTTTTAAAACAACATGCATCTCTGAAGTGGCTGCTGTGAGAGGAAAGTTGCGTTTTTCTGCTAGTATCTGTAGCTTGTAAATCTGAAAAACTGAAATCTTACCCAAGTGTTTTCTCTACTTCCAGAGAATGTTGTTCTGGTGAAACATGCACCAGTTTGCTCTTCTCTTCAAGGCACTTGCGGGTTTTGAGGGCAAGGGCTTTGTTTCCTTCTCAGACTTGTGGGATTGTGGAGTCTGGAATTGCTCTGCAGCAAGCTGATGCTTGACAGGCTTCATTCGCTGTCTCTGCTCTGGCTACACCTGAGTTAAATGACACAAACTTCTGAGCTGTGTTAGGTAAAGCTTCCTAGCATACACTTTCTCCATGGTGTTTAACTATTCTTATTGATATTTTGAGAAGCCCATTTTAAATGTAGTGATGTTGCTTCCTCTGAGGTAGAAAACATCATCTCATGCCTCTGGCCTGTATCTGCTTGGTTGTATTTGTGGCTAGATTGTGCGAGGTGAGCTGTTAACTGATGAGTTTGGTATTGCTTGTGTAATAGGAAAAGTGGGGAGAGCTCAGTACCTGAAACAGAGTTTCGAAGCTGAGGTGGTGGGGTGAGCTAGAGGTTTGTTTTGTACATGAAAAATACAGAAAAATCACTCGGTAATCCAGTACCATTCAGGAAACTTTTTATTTGCACTTGGAATTCTGTTTGGAGGCATCCTTTTAGTCCAGGGAAAAGGAAATTATCTTCTTCAGCCTACTGTGTTTTGAATGGGTTGCCGAGCCTCCGATTGCAACACAGATAAGCTACAACATAAGCTATAGGCAAGCAGTTGTGTCATTTTAAGTGAAATTATTTACATGAACTGAACTTACAGTTATAGGTTTAAGCATGTGTGGGAGATAATTCGGGCCCTAATCCAGGTATTGCTCTTGGAATCACTGAATTATACGACTGCTTCTTGTAACCTTCCAAGCCCTGTTTACCTACGCTGACCTTTTGTTCTGTCGTTGTGGTGGGCCTGGCACTGTCCTTTACAAGTACTCTGAAGCCTCTGTGTGTTGTTTACGGCCTGTGTGTCTTTAGTTATTATTCACTCCTCGTTTTGTTAGTGTTTCCTTGGATGTAAATAAGAATGTCCCAGTGGGACCAGTACAGCCTTAAAGTCCAGGGAGCCTTTCAGTGAGCTGGCACACACACCTCAGTGTGAGGAGGAGGGTGGCATTCTCCATTGTCTCTTCTCCTCTGAACAGTGAACAGTATTTTCTGATCTTGGTTCTCTTCACAAACTCAAGATTTCCACCTTTCAGCCTTTGATTTCTTAGGTTAAAAGGTGAAGAACCCTTAGTTTTTCCCTGCTTATCAAGTGCTTGTTTGCCCACAGTGGCCAGGCCCTACCAGTACCCCTGTTCTGTGCCACTTAGAGCTTCCAGTTAGCTTTCTTGCATGTTGTTCTCAGGTGTTCAAATGTGCTCCTGCCTCTGGTTTGTACAGTGGCACCATATCTAGTTGAAGTATCTAGCGTTGCCTTTTTTTTTTCAACTGATTTGAATGTAATAGCTCATAAACATTGACTGGTGGAAAGTACATGTTGCACAATTTCACTGGATAACAAGCAATTGAGAAAGGAATGTTTAACAGCACTAATAAGTGTTTAGACTTTCGTGGCGCTTTCTCAGTCTCAATAAACCAAATAGGAGTAGCTCTATATTTCACTTCAATATAAAAATAGCAGAATAGGGGAAAAACGTTTTTAACATGATTCTGGCTTAACGTAATGCTTATTCTTCTTTTGGTTCTAATTTTTAGTCGTGATTTAGCAAATCTTGTGTCCTCCCAGCTTTCTTGTGATCCTTCTGTTGGTAGAATTACAGAGCAAAGTATGCAGTGTGAATAAGTCATAGGACTTACAGACCACATTTATTTTGCAACTGAATTATTATCTATCAGTGTATCTATCTATGTATCAGTGCATCTATTGGCTATCAGTGTGTTCTAGTATGCAAATACAAACATCTACCTGGTCTTCATCCTTAGCAAGTGACTTGCAGAAGGTTATTCTGGGTCTTAGTCAGTTGTTGACAAAATTTATTGCATGAGAAAAAATTGCCTAGAGTTACGACTTCTATATGTAAAACTGTAAATGTTCCCTTATGTATTTAGTAATCAGATCCTGCTTTTGTTTTACAGCTGCTGCAGAGGGCAAAGGGAAAAGTGGGGAAGACTTTTTTCAGAAGGTAAGGAAGGTATTTTAATTCTGTAACATCAGTTGACTAGAGGAGAAATTCTGCACTCTGCTCATTCATGAGATAGAGTAATTAAACTTAATGTGCAATTTCCACCGTATTGATCAAATTTTTAAAATTATTTTTGTCTTTCAATGTCTACTAACCATCAGCTATGTATGAAATGTGATGAGAAATATGTTCTTTAGTGTATGCTATCCCCTGTGCACAAAAACTTAATTTCTCTTTAACTGAAAGTGTCAAAATATGTCATGAAAGTTTGTTTTATAGCACAGCATTAATTCAGAAGATGTTGTGAGGTGATCTTAGGGGTTTTATGCCTATAGATAAATGCTATATCCTGTTAATTAAAAAATTATGTGAAACTTACTCTGGTATTGTTGAAAGCATAAATATTTGGTTGAGAAATGCAAAGGCCTTTTAAGAAAGAAAGGCACAATCCACAGAGTGATTCAGTAAAGTTTGTGGTTAGACAGAGGCATGGCTGGACTGAAAAAAATAGTCCTACAGCAACTAAACTACAAAGAGAAACATGGTCAAGAGTAACGACTTTGAAATTACTGTTGCAAAGCAACATGTTTTGTTTTTTGTTGTTGTTTTTTCCCAAGGACAGTGTGTAAAATATTTAAAAATTCTGTTGATGAATTTCTGCCTACAGTATGCTAATAAAAATGACGACCTTTTTTTTTTATTTCTGTACTACAGGAAAGACAGTGTCAACTTTCATGCTATATACCAAAATGCCTTGAAACTCCTTTTTACCTGGTTGTCCATTAAACAAGTAGTTTGCTGTATTTTCTGTATTTTCTTCCTATTTGTAAGTGGTTCTTCTGAAAAGGCATCTTTTTAAATGCAAAAGAATGCTTTATCCTGCATACAGTTGTCAGATGCCTTGATAAAGGCTGATGGGAAGGAGTATGTGTGCTCCCAAAATGTTTGTTTAGAAGATATTTTACTGGAATCTTCAGATTATGTTGCTGTCAACTGACAATGAGAGTTACTGTACATATTTGTACTTAACTGCCTAATGTGTCAATAATTCTTCCTTTAGATTTTATCAAAATACATGGAGTTATTTGGGTTTTTTTACTTGCTGAAACAAGTCTGAGCCCTAGTAGCATATACTTAATTTCACACATTTGATATTTCAATTTAAACATTCATTTCTCTCACTTGTATAAACCTGCTCATAGTTCTTGAAGCTATGGACAAAATATTCTCTTTGTGTGGGCTTGAGTGGTTTGTGTATCTGACGTGTGTGTTTGGGTACTTGGTGATTTACTGTAGATATGATATACCTGGAGACTGTGGTTATTAGTGTAATAGCAAAAAATACTGTTGAATTTAACAGGAAAGCAAAATGCAGAAGAACTCCCAAGTATGTGAGTAAGAATACACTTCTTATATTGATAATCCGTGTAGTGTCTATTTTGGCATTAATATATTGTTGTATATGGGCCTATTATAGAGGCCCAGGGAAGATGCTGGTTAAAGCTGCTTCATTTTGACTGGCACTCTTAGAGTTATAGCATCCCTATAGTTTAGATTGCTTAAGGTTTCTAGGTCCACATACATGATACTACAGCTAATAAAAACAGATGGAAACAATCTTCTTTGTGAGTTTTCTTTTGTTCAAAAAATCTTTGGACAGTTACTCATAGCTTACTCACCATCTCTGTCTGTGCAATTTCCTCTAATCAGAGTTAAGCTTTTTCCTTTCTCATGTGACATGAATAAGTCAGTTTTCTGGAGGTAAAATGAAGACTCTGTGTTTCAGGTTGTGTAGAGAGGTAGAAAGTGATTTGTAACGTTAGAAATACATGGCAGACTAAGGCAGCAAGATAACTTTCAGAAACAATATGAATTTGAAGCTATGGTGAGTGCATTATTATTTTTTAATAGTTTTTAAAACGAGACTTTCTTAGGGTATTATTAGCAGGCTTTTGAGGGGAATGGGCAGGGGAAGTGCATCAGAGAGGAGGTGCATCAAGAACTCAGTGTAATTTGGATAAATAATGCCGTGTGTATAGTACTTTCTGTCAAACTTGGCCAAACATGCTGAAATTAACTTGGGTGGAAAGAAATTTTGACGTGAGTGCTAAAATGGCAGAAGTTGGTAAGGCAAAGATTCCAGAAGGTGATTTGTCAAGACACATCAGACAAATCAAGGGGAAGGAGAGAGGCTGCCAGTGCTGGATGGAGTGAAACAACACGGTCATCCTGCAGGTGGCTGCTGGGTCCTGCCTGGTGGCTGGCGAACAGGGCACAGCTCTCAGTTCTTCATTTGCTTGTCCTCAGGAGGAACAGAAGCTGCTCGTGTGCTCTCTGAGCTGGGCTCGAAGTGAGGGACTCTGCCTGGCTTGTTAAGCTACATGTGTATGCTCTAATGAATCTGTTGTGCTTTTAAAGAAAGTTAATGCCAGGTTTTGGTCTTTTACTGGTCTTCGTATGTGAGCCAGTAGTATAACTTTCTTGGGTTTTCATAAGCAAGCAGATACTCAGTGGATGTGAACTTCTCTCAACTTTTAACCGTTGAAGTTTAATACTAACAGTTCAAATGTCAAAATGCAGTATTTTACTGAGCGTTTTAGCAGAAGCAATCACATGTTCTGCAGTTGCTGGAGGAGTTACAGAATAAGCCCCAGCTCTTGGCCACAAGGGGTGAGTCAAGATATTATTTCTGCCCTGTCATAGCAGGAGAAGATTAAGTGGTGAAGTGCCCCTTCCTCTGCTCCTGAATTTAAGTGAGAAGTAAATAAATGTTTTTTGGTAGCGTCATCTTAAAAAATACGGAGTCTTTAGCGCATATTCTTCAAATATTTCTAAGTTTTAGTGCTGTTACAAGGCAGGGAAAACCTAGTGTAATCTAATGTGGATTTTTCAAAACCACTGGGAGCTGCTAATGATTTAGCAAGAAATAAGTAAATAATGTGACAGTTCTCTCTCTAGAGCTATCTGATCTGCAGTTCAGTGACAGGTAATCTTAAATAAACATGGATTGCTTTGCTGTTGTGTTACATATCATTTATGTGAAAGATCCTTGTGGACCTTACTCTGTATATCATCTGAATTTATTCTATGAGAGTAATACATAATGTGAAGATATTGCTTGTTCTTGATTCAGACCTCATTTTCAGTTGATGGTGGTTTTCTTCCATTGATTTCTGTAACACATGGTTCACACCTCATAGCCCAGTAAGGCCCTTCCTAGACATATAATTTATGTAGCACTATAGATGTGCATGGCACTCTTACATAAAATGTAGGAAGGTGGCGTAGGAAGGTCTTTGCCCTAAAGAGTTCATAATCCAAAGCAGATGAGGGTTGCTTGTGTGGACAGAGAGGAATTTAATGCATCATTTCTGTTTGTTTTTATTTCTTGCCTCATCACATGTTGTTTTTTTTTCTAAAATAATTGAAATCTTAGTGCCGATGATAACCTTTCATCCTGAAATCTCTCAGGGCAAGAGTGTACAGCTAGCCTTATCATGGGACTGTGAAGAGTGCAGTGGACGATAGGCAGAGGTTGTGCGTTTAGTGAAGGTTGGGTGGAGTTCTTGGGCTAACGCAGGGCGGCACACGCAGAAGGTCGTGAGTGGAAGTGATGCACACGTGGTGCTCTGCCCAAGGACTTGGCTCCAGGTCAGATGCAAGCTGCTAGTTTCAGCACAATTCAGTGTGTACATGTGTTAGTCATGGGCTTTTAGAATATTTCTGAAGGAGCTCCTCTGCTCTTCCTTTCCTGGCTTTCAAGAGTTAGTTTGCAGAATTCGGTTTTACGGAAAGCATGCTATGCTGCCAGTCAGCTGTAACTTGTGGGTTTTGCTGTTTCTCAATATTTGAGGTTATGTAGGTTTTGTGGGTTGGGTGTTGGCTTTTTTTTTTTTTTTTGCTTGGTGTTTTTTTTTGTTTGTTTTTAATCGAAGTGAAATGGTGTTTTTAGGAGTATCTGTATATCTGTACTGCACAAATACTTAGAGCTTTTTTAAGACATCACAGGATTTGGGCAAAATGTATGTTTAAACACTTGTGCTTCTCTTGACTGCGGGCTGTTACTCCTTGAAGGGGGATGTAATTGTGCGAAGATGCAAATGGGCAAGCGTTGTATGTGTGTGCCAAAATCTCTTCTGTTAATTATTAGGAGCTTGGGAGTGTAATGGAAGACTAGAGTCTTCCTTTTTCATTTTCCTTCCTGTCTTTCATATAATGTGCTACACCTGTAGCTTCATATTTTGTGAACTGAATAGTGCCTTAAAAGATACTGAGGCCATTTTGGAAGCAACATTTGGTGAAACCATCCCTTAAACCCAGTTGCTTTTCTGATGTAGATAGTGAAAACAGTAGCAGTAGGAAACTTAAGAAGCAGAACAAACAACAAAAAAACTCAAACCCACTACAACCTAAACCCCAAAGTCCTCAAAATTGTGATTATTTTAAGATGCAAAAAATAGGTATATCTGATTGCATCTTTAATCGCCTTTCTGTTAGATTACTCTTCTGTATGCAGTAGTTTTTAATGATTGTATGCTACCTTTTATTTGCCTAGGGGGCTGTGGCAGCCAAGGCAGTAAGAAAGATGCCTCAGACTCCATTTGTTTATCTAAGAGAGTAAAAGAGCTTGTTTTGCAATATCCTGTGGTTTCGCTTGTATCTTTGAAAAATGTTTGGTAGGTTGATCTGGGGCAAACCTTGCAACTTTTGCAACAGTTTTATAGGTGCATATATTGATACAGTGTTTATCTATACATGAATGCTTTTGTAAGTATAGATAATACTGATACAAATAAATTAACTGAAAAAGAATTTACATTCTTCTGTCTGTAATAGGTCAGGCAGAAAGCTGATCAGTCTTCCTTTTAATCTCTGAACATGAAATGTGTAGTTAGGCTCAGGGCATTTTCAGGCAAAGAAAATATTAATCATTGACCTGAGACTAAGCTGTCTCAGGCTGATTATTACCTGTGTTCAGCAGTAACTTCTGAAGGGCTTTC